GTTTGCTGCTGGTTCTTCCCGGGTTGGCTACTATCCCTTCCACCTCCGTGGAAGGGCAGTTCCCCCTGGCCGCATTCCCCACTTCCGCAGGGGAGCGGCACACCGCCGGCCGGCTTTCTCGGGGGCTGCACGGGTTCCCTTAGATGTTCCCCATAGATGTTCCTGGTGCATGCCATCTCTCTCCTCCTTTATAGTCCTCCTCCGCCAATCCTAACTCGGCTGCCCACACGCCGAGTACGCTGCTCTCCTCCAATCAATAGCAAGTCCTACAGTTTATTAGTTAAACTGGAGGCAGCTGTGCGGAAGCTGTTTACTTCTCTCCCAGTGCCATATTGTGGGAGAGCAGATGCATAGAATAAGTCTTAATTCCAGTAACTCAGTCTAGTCCGGTTGCTCCCCACAGATCCCCCTTTCTTTTTATTTTTGGCGTTGATACGCGCCTGTCTTCGGTGTCCCGCGGCACACACTCTGCTCTACTTGCTAGAGTTGCCACAGGCTCTTACAAGTCCTATCAATCAGGAAAACCGAATCCGGGTCCTCTCTTCGCCATTGTGAGGAGGTTTTTAGGCGCTGATGCGTGCCTGTGTTCGGTGCCCTGCAGCGCATGCTCTGCTCTGCCCGCAGGGGCTTACAAAACCTATCAGGCAAACCAAATCCAAGCCTTCTCATTGCCTTTTTGTGGGGGAGACTTATTAGTGTTGGTTCGTGCCTATCTTCGGTGACCTGCAGCTCATACTCTGGTCGAGCTGCTTGCTGGCGCTTACCGCCTTAATCAGGCAGACCGAATCCAAGCCTTCTCATTGCCTTTTTGTGGGGAGGCCTTACTGATGTTAATTCGTGCCTGTCTTCGGTGACCTGCGGCGCATAAGCTGCTAGCCGCCCAGGTGCTCATCGCCTCACTAATCGGGCAGACCGAATCCAAGCTCTCACATTGCAGTGTTGTAGGGAGGCCTTTCTATTTCTCTATTTCTCTATCTCCGGGCATTCCTATTTCTCCCATTTTACTTCTATCTTCCAGCATTCCTATTTCTCTTTTACTTCTAAACTTCTGTTTCTCTTATCCCTGCGGCTTTCCGGCTGCGCCTGCCCCGAGGCTGCTTCTCGGCAGCTTTCCGGCTCTGAGCCGCTTCAGCCCGCGCCTCTCTCATCTGCGCAGCTTCCCAGCTTTACGCGGCTTGGCTTCGCGCGCTCCGCGGTCTCCACGCCCTTCGCGTCTGCACCACGGCCTCGCGCCAGCCCCGTTCCCTATCTATTCACGCCCCGTGCTCTCTCTGCACGCGGCGGCTTCCGCGAGTAACACAGCGTAGCTTACGTGTCCGCCACTAGCATTCAATCTAAGTTCCCCGGGCTAGCCTGGCGAATTCAACCCAGCGTACGTCTCCGCCCCACGGTTTGGCTTCCCGTCCTTTGCTCCCCGGGCTAATCAGACGGATCCCAACCAGGCTCACGTTTCAGCTTCTAGTTTCAACTTTTCGCCCCCTATTCCCGGGCTAACTTGAGAATCCCAAAGTGGCTTTCGTGTCCGCCTCGGCCTGCCCCCCGCGGCTTCAATTTCCCTAACACTTTTCTCTACCCGGTATGTTTCCCCAAGCTTTCCTCCAACAATACTCCTCCCTCATTTCTCCTAGCCTCTCCCCACAGTCCGTATCCGAGTCTGTTTGTTCTAGCTTTCACTTTCGCTTTCGACCTTAGAGATTTCTCCCAGCTTCCCCCCGTAGTCCGTATCTGAGTCTATGCCTGGGCTTTCAATAGCTTCTTCCGGCACCTTTTTCGTCCGGCTTTTCCCTAGGCTGTTTGCTAGTCTATGCCTAGGCTTTCAATAGCTTCTTCCGGCTCCTTTTTCGTCCGGCTTTTCCCTAGGCTGTTTGCTAGTTTCTCTCTCCGATATTTTCCCTAGTTCTTCCCGTTTCTTCCCTCCTAAGTTTCATATCCGTCCTAAGTTTCCTATCCGAGTCAGGTTTCCTATCCGAGCTAGGTTTCCTATCCGAGTCACGGCACCATTATGTCGCTCCCCCTCTTCGTGGAGGAACGACACTAAGCCCCTGCCTAGGCTTCATATCCGAGTCACGGCACCATTTTGTCGCTCCCCCTCTTCGTGGAGGAACGACACAGGACCCTGCGCTGTTCTTTCGTCTGCTCGGCCCTCCCCGGGTTTGCTGCTGGTTCTTCCCGGGTTGGCTACTATCCCTTCCACCTCCGTGGAAGGGCAGTTCCCCCTGGCCGCATTCCCCACTTCCGCAGGGGAGCGGCACACCGCCGGCCGGCTTTCTCGGGGGCTGCACGGGTTCCCTTAGATGTTCCCCATAGATGTTCCTGGTGCATGCCGTCTCTCTCCTCCTTTATAGTCCTCCTCCGCCAATCCTAACTCGGCTGCCCACACGCCGAGTACGCTGCTCTCCTCCAATCAATAGCAAGTCCTACAGTTTATTAGTTAAACTGGAGGCAGCTGTGCGGAAGCTGTTTACTTCTCTCCCAGTGCCATATTGTGGGAGAGCAGATGCATAGAATAAGTCTTAATTCCAGTAACTCAGTCTAGTCCGGTTGCTCCCCACACCTCTGTGTTATAGCCTATATTAGAATCTTACTCCTTCTAATAACCAAATCATATTCCATTGTATATGGATATATCATGTTTCATTTTTTCCATTCCTCTTTTGGTGGACTTTTGGGTTGCTCCCACCTTTTGGGTATTGTGAATGATATTGCCATGAGTGTCTTGTGCAAGATTTTGAAATGATTTTTTTAAAGATTTATTTATTTATTTGAAAGTTGGAGTTACAAAGGCAGAGGCAGGGAGAAAGAGAGGTCTTCCATCTGCTGGTTCACTCCCCAAAATGGCCGCAACAGCCGGACCTGAGTCAATCCAAAGCCAGGAGCCAGGAGATTCTTCCAGGTGTCCCAGGCAGGTTCAGGGGCCCAACCACTTGGGCCATCTGCGACTGCTTTCCCAGGCCATAGCAGAGGGCTGGATTGAAAGTGGAGCAGCTGGGACTTGAACTGGTACCCAAATGAGATACCAGAACTGTAAGGCGGCAACTTTACCCACTACACCACAGCACCAGTCCCAAAAACTTAATTTTAATTCTTTGATGTGTATGCCTATGAGTGGGGTTGCTGGGCAATAACTACATTTGCCAAACCCACCCTCTGTTGTGGGGGTTTTTGCCAAATGGATTTGGGAGAAATAGTAATAACCAGGGTTCATATAGAATCATTTCTGTTGGCCTCTTTGAAAAGCAACTGGGCATTGTGAGGAACTATGTAGCTTGCTAGAAAGACAATGGAGGATGGGTTTGCATTGTGACCTAGTAGGCTAAGCCTCAGCCTGCATCTCTCCTGACTGTTCCTCTTCCGATCCAGCTCTCTGCTAATGGCCTGGGAAAGCAGCTGGAAGATGGCCTAAGTGCTTGGGTACCTGCATGGGAAACCCAGAGGAAGCTTCTAGCTCCTGGCTCCAGATCAACCCAGCTCCAGCCATTGCAGCCATTCAGAGAGTGAACCAGTGGATGGAAGACCTCTCTCTACCTCTCCCTCTCTCTCTGTAACTCTCTTAAATAAATAAATAAAAGAAAGACAATGGAACATTGACTAAATATGCCTGAGTCCAATACCCAGCTTGCCTTCCAACTCATAGTTGGCAAAACACTTAAGTTTCCTCTCAGTTTTTTCAGCTAAAGATAAGAAATATCTGCTTCAGAGGGTTGTATGGTCTTCTTGGAGTGATGAATATGAGGATTAAAGAGTTATATCAATGGGGAGTGAACCAGGGGATGGAAGACTCACTCTCCCTCCCTCTCTCTCTCTCTCTCTCTGTCTGCCTCCTCCTCTCTGTAACTCTACTTTTCAAATAAGTAATTTTTTTAAAAAAGAGTTATATGAAAATACCTGATACCTGCTAGGTACCTTTTAAGTTCTATTGTTATTACAATGCAAAATGTTATTAGAATATATCAAAAGTCATAAAAGTCATGCTACTTATCTAGAAAATTCTTCCCTTGGAAATCTATGGTAAGAAAATTTTATCTACTGTTTCTAGTATAAATAAATCCCTGAGAATATATGCCCCGTATCTGAATATGTTTTCTGTTATGAATAACACAATACCACAGATTGGATAAGGGATAAAGAAAAGAGACTTAATTTTGAGTCATGGTTCTGGTCGAGCATCAAGGAGCCACTTCTGGTGATAGTCTTCATGCAGAGTTCTGAGGTTCCTGGCACAAGGCATTGCATAGCTAGAGACAGAACATGAGTGATACCTGGCCAATCTGGCTCCAATAGCCAATCAATTCTTGAGATAACTTATTAGCTTGTAATCACATGAATATCTAAAATCGTTCATGAGAGCAGAGGCCTACTCACCTCTTTCTCTTTTTTAAGATTTATTTATTTTTATTTGAAAGTTAGAGTTACACAGAGAGAGAAGGAGAGGCAGAGAGTGAAAGAGGTCTTCCATCCACTGGTTCAGTCCCCAATTGGCCGCAATGGCTAGAGCTGTGCGAATCCAAAGCCAGGAGCCAGGAGCTTTCTCTGGGTCTTCCCACATGAGTGCAGGGGCCCAAGGATTTGGGCCTCTTCAACTGCTCTCCCAGGCTGTAGCAAAGAGCTGGATCGGAAGTGGAGCAGCCAGGACTCAAAACAGTGCCCATATGGAATGCAGTGCCCATATGGCACTGCAGGCGGCAGCTTTACCTGCTACACCACAACACCGACCCCCAACTCACCTCTTAAATGTCCCACCTGGTCCCACCTCTTTACTGTCTCACACTGGGGATAAAATGGCAACATGAGTTTCAGAGGGAACTGACCATACTGATGCCATAGCACCCCATTATGGGTGAGTTAATAGCACCATACTCAAACAAGAAAAGAGGTAAAGGAAACCAAGAATTCTTCAGCACCAACTCTGCCCTTGGCTCTGGGTTAGGTCCTTGACATACTCATTTATTTGTTAAATGTGTACTTATTGGACCTCTGATATGAACTACTTATCTTTCTAGGCACTGGTGATACAGCACTGAGCAACAAATACATTCCCTGTGGAAAGCTCATATTCAAGCATAAACAAAACACATTAGATGGATAATAGCAAACTTTTACCAAGCAGATGCCCTGTGCCAAGCCTATTCTAAGCCAGGAGTTGTAAACTGCTCTTCGTGGGCCAAATATGGCCCACCACCTACTTCTGTAAATAAAGCCACTCATTTACATGTTATTTCAATGGCTGCTTTTGTGCTACATAAAAATTGAGACTGAGACCACATGACTCACAAGCCCTAAAGTATTTACTAGCTGGCCCTTGACAGGAAAGGTATGCTGACCCCTGCTCTAAGCATACCTTTGACAAAGATGCAATATATCTCAGCGCCAATTTTCTAGATGAGGAAGCTAAGGCACAGAACATGAAGTTAGCTTGTTCAAGGTCACACATATAAGAAATAAAGGAATCAGACCCATGGTACAAGGTGGCTATAAAACTCATGTTTTTACAAGCTGTGCCATTCTGCCTAGCCAGCCAAACCTAGGGTCATTTCATTACAACTGTAAACAGTGCAGAGAAGAAGTGAAGAGCCCTTCACTGAATTGCGAAGCTAGGGCTGAAATTTGAAGGACCTGGAAACGTTGGCTGGATGAAAATGGGACATAGTGCTGGCAAGGAACAGTAAATGAGGGCCTTGCAACAGTAAAGAGCTGGCCATTTGCAGAATAATGTAGTTGAGATGGATCTGGTTCTGGGCTGAGTTTCCAGGAAGAACTCCCTAGTGAAAATAGCAAGGACACCCCAGCATAGTGCCACCTGTGCACACACCTGCAGCAGTGAAATGGAGATTCTCTGTCCTCCTGCATTCCTGCCCTATGCAAAATCAAAGTCCCATGCTGGTGCATCCACCAAGGACTCTGAGTCATAGTTCTGCATCCTACCAGCAAAGGAGACCGGGAAATGTAGTCAGCTTTTGTTTCATGCCTGGGCTTCTAAGCTAGGGAGAAACCAAATGTGGAGAAGGTGTTCTAAGGTCCTGGGCTGCTTCAAAGGGCACAGACCTGCTACAGCAGATGGCAGGGGATTAGGGTTAGGGTCATCAGAAGGAAATACAAAAGGAGGGGTTGGTTGGAGAGGAAAATGGGGATTTGTTCTGGACCCATTGAATGTGCAGAGCCTGTGACATCCACGAGGTAGTTGGAGAGATCTTGTTTAATCCTTCAGGGGAATTTACAATTAGCATTCTGATCCCCTATCCATAGAATTACTCGGTAAGAAAGTGGGGAAAACAGGACACAATTCCAGGACATTTCGGCTCCAATGCCAAATTTAGCTCTAATTTTTTTGTGTGGCTCACAAACATTGCCTGCCAACTTTATCATTGTCCTTTTAGCATCTACCTAGCTTTGATTCATCATGAATATTTTTAATTCTGTTTTTAATATATTCTCATCACTCCCTAAGCTGACAAACACTGTGGAAGTCTCACCATTTGTCCCTGACAAACCCCAAGTTCATGCTAAGGTCACAAACGTGTGCTCCTTTGTTTCTGTGTAACTGGGTGGGGACAGTGTGCCCCATGAGAAGAGATCTTCTGAATAGTGCCCTTCAAAACAAAATGAGGGGGACATTGTTTATTTTGGCACTCCCCCTCCCCCAACATCCCCATTTATATGGTTCTTTCCACTTCTAGAGTCCCAATTTCTTTAAAAACTCAGTACATTTACTTGATACCAAAGTAGCTAGAAGCATTCTTAGGAAAGGTTGCAACTTTAATGTGCTGCCCCTTTTAAGGATTTGTATATCCACAAATATTAACTCATGAATGTAAGGATGCAATAGGAAAGACCGCTTTGGGGAATTCTGTTCCTTTTTCTTTCCTACTTTTGTTTTCTGTTCACCATTTAAATCACAACCAAACTTTCTCAGTCTTTCAAAGAATTTGGCCTGACAGCCTTATTCATGCTCAAGAGAGTCCATCCCACCAGACTTTTCTGTAGAAAAGTCAACTTGATTCTATAGTTTATATAAAAATGCAAATGATTTATCATTTAACCAAAACAGTTTAAAAAAAAAAAAGGAAAGAAATGGGAATACATTAAAGTGCCTGGATTTCAAGACTTACTACAAAGCCCTAGTTGTCAACACAATGCACATTGGCAAAGGATAGTTGTAAATGAATGGAAAAGGAGGGTCCAGATATAGGCTCACACATACATAGTCAGTTAATGTTCAACAAAGGTGCCAGGGTGATTCAGGGTGAAAGGTGAGGTTTTTTTTCAGCAAAGGCTGCGTGACCACCTAGATCTCATTTTAAAAAAAGAAAAAGACAAAAAGAAACTGTACCCTCACCTCACGCCATGTACAAAAACTAACTCAAAATGGATTACAGACCTAAATGTAAAAGCCAAAACTATCAGACACATAAAAACAAACAGAAGACAATCTGTGCAACTCTGGGGTAGACAAAAATGATTAGGACACAAAAAAACCACCAACCGTAAAGAAAATATTGATAAAGTGGGCCTCATCAAAACTGAAAGCTTTTGTTATTTGAAAGACAGTGTTAGGGCAATGAAAAGAAAAAATTACACCCCAGAATAAAAATATATGTGTTTCTGTCAATGGACTTGTACTGAGAACAAACAGAAAGGCTTGCAACTCAATCATAAGAAAACATATCCCTCAATAATATTTTTAATGGGCAAAATATTTCAACCAGCTTCATTAAAAAGGATATAAAAATTGCCAACAAGCACATGAAAAAATTCTCAACATCATTAGTCACCAGAAAAATGCAAATTGAAAGCACAATGAAATAGCACCACACACCCACCAGAATGGCTAAAATTAAAGAGACTGGTAATACCATACTGGCAAGGAAGTAGAGCGACTAAGGGTGTAAAACTGTGCTGTGGAAAACAGTTTGGCAGTTTCTTTAAAAGTTAAACACACACTTAACATATGACCCAGAAATTCTGCATCTAGTTATCTACCCAAGAAAAATGAAAACATATGTATTCAAAAGATTTACTATGAGCCTTCATATACAACTCTCTTCAGAGAAATTGTGTTACATCCCTACACTAAAATAGTTCTCAGAAAATTGACACGGTGATTTATGCAGCAACAGTGATGAGCCTTGGAAATGTTATTACTAGTGTCTCAGTAATTGTTTATGGTGCCCCTAAGCCAAAAGAAATACCATAACAGTTCCTTCTATGAAGTCATTGGGTCATAGTGGTTCCTATAGTGTTCAACAGATGTCTTTGTGTTTCTCTCACAAATGTAAAACATCCGTGGTACTGTGAGTTTGCTGTTAGTGTCTCAGGGCAATTTGGCATGATTTGGGACCATGCGGCTAAATTAATCAACAGTAACTGAAAGGAGAACTATGGTTGCCTGGGGCTGGGGAAAGGAAGATTTCAGAACTTTCTGGAATGATGGAATTTCCCTAAATTTTATTTGTGGCTAGGCATATGTATATTCACCAAAGTGTATGAGGTGTTCCTCAAAAAAGTTAATAGAAAAATGCATATTATGAAAAACTATGAGTGAATTTCAAAATTATTTTGCATCAAACTTTTCTTTTATTGCCACTTTTCCATGAACTTTTTTGAAATCCCCTCATCTACCTAGAATATATGCATTTATTGTATATAAATTATACCTCAATAAAAGTAAATTAAAGGTCAAAGATTCCTTTCCTTGGTATAAAAATATATTTTGTGTGTATATACCCATGTGAACATATACATACACACTCTTATTTCTGCCTGCTCATAAAATGACAGAACTAGACTTGGTTACTTTGTGATTAACCCTATTAATTGCCTCTTAGACTCAATTTTACTTTTTTGAAAGGCAGAGTGACAGAGAGAGACACACACACAGAGAGAGAGAGAGATAGAGAGAGGAAGAGATCTTCCATTCATCCACTGATCTACTCCCCAAATGTCTGCAACAGCTAGATCTGTGCCCAGCCAAAGGCCAGGAGCCAGGAACTCCAAACTGGGTGGCAGGGGCCCAATCCATTCCTTTTCCAAGACATGAACAGGAAGCTGGATTGGCTATGGAGTAACTGGGACTCAAATGTGCACTCCACCGAGGGGTGCTGGCATTGCAGGTGGCAGCTTAACCTGTTGTACCACCACACTGACTCCCTAGACTCGGTCTCTAACTCCCTTTTTCCTCTGCCCTTACTCTACTTCTGGCAATTGAAAATACTTTGGTTTTATGTGCTTGTTAAATGTCTCTTGTCTTGGATTTGTTGAGACTTGAAGTTTTGAGACATTTTATTATTATTAAATAATAATTTGAAAAACCTCCTATATGGCTATTCTAAATGATACTGTGTAATTAATGTTTTACAGTTGTGTTTTATGAAACTCGCCAATTCCTGAGATAGATATTATTATATATTATCTAGTATTAGCCATATTATACGGATCAATAAACTGAGGCTCAGAGAGATTCAGTGAGTTGATCTTGCACACAGGCACCAAGTAGAGACACTGGGACTTACATCTGGATAGGTCTATCAGAGGTGCTCAGAGCTACTATGCCTCCCTGACTCACTGCATGCTTCTGGTCTAATTATTTTAAGAGTAGAATCTTTCTGTGGGAAGCTATACCTCTTCCTATGGCAGCCTGGAGTGTACAGTGTGTATGGTGCCCCTCCATTTACTCCTGATGAGTGATGGGTAAGCAAAAATCCTGTTTGGATGTCCTTCTGATGTTACTCTTACAAAGTATGGTCCTGAAAGATTTTCCTGCATGGAAAAATCTAGAACCTTATACCTTTCTGAGTGCCCACTGTTAGACATCCTAATGCATTCTTTTTATCATTGTATTTTTAGCTGAATGATAACTACATTAAAACTATTTAAATAAGATCAACAATTTGCATTTTCATGTTGTGTAACCATTTCCTAAGAGTTTACCCCATGGCATCTTTCCAGTCACTATAAGACAACATTGAGTGGTCACTACTGCTGATTCCATGTCATCTGTTCCAATCCAGATGGTATATCTGTACCCCTTCCTCAGGCCATGATTCAGAGGTACACAAGTGACCCAGCCTATGCAATGAAACATGAAGAAACATCTTAAGGGAGATCCTAGAGAAGCCACAGGAAGGAGTCCCTTTTCCCTGGATGTGATCCTGTTGACTTAACACCTGGAATTACCACAGCTGTCTTGGTTTCACCCCCCAGCTACGGATGACAATGAATGAGGATGACAGAACTGAGAGTCAGAGGGCTCTCAGCCCTTCATGATTCTGTCAGCCTCCCTAGAGAACATGATGTCTCTAGCTCTCCTCTTAGGCAAGATAGCATAAACCAGTTTGATTTGTTTTTCTAAGAATCCTAATGCCTTTGCCCTACCTGGGACTCCAAGAGCTTAGTTGCTTTTTTCATATTGTTAGTATGACCACAGTGGAAACCAGAATCCCAGCCTCCTATCAGCTGGGTTGTCTTTCATTCTCCAGCTGTGAAAAATGGGCTGAGATGATTTTGCCTAGTTTGGCTTGATGAATATCAGCTGAATACTGAAAACACCTTTTTCTGGTTGTTGTAAAAGATGAAAATCTTTGCCAATTTTGAGGGATAATTCAGGAACATAAATGTCTGTTGATAAGATATAGATGTCTGCTTCAGTATAACTTTGTCAAATTAATTTTTATGATAACCTTAATTGTAGCTGAGGACATATGGTTTAATGCAATACATGCAATTGCATCATTGCCTTCAATATCCCTATATACTCAAGAAAAACTATAGCCTTTTTAAAAAAATTTGCGTGAGAAACTGCTGGGAAAGTTTTTTTTTTTTTTTTAATCATTCTTAAGTGCTAGGTAAACAAAATAGGAGAATCATTTCTTCCTACAATGCCAATAGCTAGTAAATGTGTGTTGAGTTTTTTTCTTATTTTGCTCAAGATTTGGGCTTTAACAACAGAAATGTTTGCAATAATTTTTGTCTTGCTAGAACTTCTTGTTCATCTTTGGAACATTTCCTACAAACACTAGTTTCATCTCACCTTGGACTCTAGAACTAGAAGGGAGCCTCAAACATCTGTCTGCCTTCCTTGTACCAGGTAGTCCTCCGCCTGAACTGAATCAATGCTCCTTATAAAGCTCCCTGAAGGTGCAGGCACACCTGCCTCAGACATGCCTTCTTAGCATGAGGAACTCAGCTTGAGCCTGACATAAATCTCACATTTTCCAACTTAAGGTCATTTCCTCTATTCTCTGTTTCCACAGTTTATCAGAGTTTGTGGACTTTGCCCAGGTGCCCCTAGCTGCCTGTCAGTGCTTTTGTTCAGATGTCTTCCAGCTCTCTGGGTGCCCACTGGCCACCCAGGCCTACCTGGTGACTCCCCCAGTTTCCTCTGATGGGAGTCTCTTTATGATTAGAGTGACCACCCATCCTGCTCTACTGAATGCCAGTTGTATATACAATTATTAAGAGCCGGCTTCACTGTCAACAGTGCTTGCTTTACTTAATAAATTACATAAATCCCTTACTTATGAAGTAAGTTTATGAAGATTCAGAGTGAACCCCCTGAATCTCCCAGCTGAAGGTAAGGTGCACTACTCTATGGCAATGACAGACAGTGCACCGTGCAAGATGGCCACCAACAACCACACGCGGCTTCTGAGCACCTGATATGGAGCCAGCCCTAACTGAAATGTGTAGAATGTATAAAATACACTTCAGATTTCAAGGATTTAGTACCAAAATAAAATGTAAAATATCTCAATGTTTATATTAAAATTATATTTAACTGTTGGGTAAAATAAAACATATCCATTAATGTATCACTAAAACTAAAACATTATTCAAATTAATTTGTTTTTAATGGAGCTATTGAAACAATTTTTAAAGTTTTTTTCATTTATTTTACTTTTTTGAAAAGCAGACAGTGCTACAGGGATCTCCCATCTACTGGTTCACTCCCCAAAAGCCTGCAATAGTGAGAGATAGGTCAGGCATTCTGAAATTATGACCACCTGACCTGTGGCCAGGTTAAAAAAGAACAGTGTGGGGGAGGGAATGGTGGCAGGGAGGGAAATAGCAACAATGAGAAGAAAGTGAAAGGAAACAAGAGGGCAGGGTTAGGCATTTAGCCTAAAAGTTAAGACACCTGTTTGCCACATTCCCACTTTGGTTTGACTCTGCTCAAGTTGTCAATCCAGGCTTCCTGCTTATGCACTCAATGGGAGGCAGCAGGTGATAACTTGCCACCGCCACCCACGTGGAAGACTTGGATTGCATTCCCAACACCTGGCTTCAGCCCCTGGCTATTGCAGCTATTTGGGGAGTGGACCAGTGGATGGGAGTGCTTACTCTCATTCTCTCAATCTCTCTCCCTCTTTAAAAAAATTAAAAAGAAATAAAGGAGGAAACAGGAAAAGAAAACAGGTTGGAAATGAGAGCGACGGAGACAGAAAGAGCAGAGAGGCAGGGAGGGAGAGCCTCAGCAGGCCCTCGAGTGGGTATCAGTTGGAGTAAGCAGTTCTAGTCACAGCTTGTCTTTAATATGGGAAGACCAGGCTTTGAACCCTTGTTCCCCTCCAAGGGAAATAGGCTACTTCCAGGAAGGGAGTATAACTCTGCATAAAGCAGCTCCCTCTGGCCTGAATCTATGAGCTCAGCAACTGGAGAAACGCAGGCTCTGCCTAGGAAAGTTGGCAAGTAACGTGTTTAATTAGCTAGCTTGCAGCCACAAGGCACCACTGTAGAGAATCACATGGCATCTGCAAAAAGATCATGCACTCAGATACACAGAGCAGCAATGACAGCAAAAGTGAGAAGCCTTAAAGTACTCATAGGAAAATGGGTCCATAGGTTGTGACATATTCAAGGGATACAACACTTTACTGCAGTTGTGAGGATTGGGCTAAATTTATAACCATCAGTGTGGGTAGGTCCCAAACACAGGGGCTACTTGACTTACAATGCATTTTCATCCTGATGAAGCCACTGTAAACTGAAGACAGAAAGCACTGTAAGTGGAAAACTCATGGAAGACACTTAAACTCCCAAACATCCTGGCTTAGCATCCAGCACACTGCAGAGTGTAGGAGGTTTCCCCTCATGATCACAGGCCAGCATTGCCAGAGAGTATCAGACCACATAATTCCAGCCTGGGATAAGATCCAAACTTGAAATTCCAAAAGGCGGCTTCAACTGAAGGTGCGCCACTCTCACACAATCAGAAGTAACAAAAATTCTGAGTCAAATTGTCCTTAAGTCAGGGATCATCTGTCTAACATTACTGGATTTTTTGGGAGTTTTTGGGAGGTACACACAGTAAACTGGTATTTATTTCATCTTAAATACAATGTAAAATGCATATTTATATGTGGGTCCTGCTGTAGGAACACATTTAGGAAAGTGGTGACTGTGGCAGGAAAACCTTAGCAGGGAAACTGTGAACACATGGAAACTTCAACATTATCCATAATAACCAATCTCTCGTTTAAAAAAAAAAAAAACTATGAAGCAAGATCCACAATGTCAGCATTTATTAGTTCTCTGTAGATGGTAGGTACACTAGTTTATGGGTTCTTAACTGAGAGTTTTTAACTCTTCAAGAGTGTTTAAGGCTAGCACTGTGGCATAGCAGGGTAAGTCACCACTGAGATGCTGGCATCCCATATGGGAATGCTAGTATTGATCCCAGCGCCCCTAGTTCTTATCCAGTTTCCTGATAATGCACACCCTGGAAGGCAGAAGGTGATGGGTCAGCTACTGGTAGAGTTCCTGTCTCCTGACTTTGGCCTGGTCCATCCAGCCTTGGCTGTTGTAGCCATCTGGAGAGTAAACCAGTGGATGGAAGCTTTCTTCTCTCTCTCTCTCTCTCTCTCTCTCTCTCTTCTTCCTCTTCTTCTTCTCTCTCTCTCTCCTCCCCCCTCCCTCACTCCCTCTCTCTCTCTCTTTCTTGCTGTTTTTCTGCCTTTAAATTGGTAAATGAAGTTTTTTAAAAAATAAAAGGACCCAATCTGAACTCTGAACTCTTGGCCTGGTAGCTTCATCAAGACAATAAAAGATCTCTGATGTGAAGAATCACGCTGAACCAAAGAATCCCTAGAATTCCCTGTTGCCAACCGTGCACACACACAGGCATGCACACAGCAGGCAGGCCCAGGCAGATGCTAGCTCTTTCAGTCTCTTGGTATGCCCAGGCACGTGCAGCCTGACGGAAGAGCTCAGAAATCTTCCAGGTCTTCCTGTAACAGATTAGTTGCAAAGTGTTTGTGAAAGCAAGGACCAACCATGATGTGAACCCCCCAGTCCTGAAAGGCTAAGACATGACTTGGCTGTCACTGATGGCAAATGGACAAGAGCGGATCCCAGACCTCAACCAGTAGGGCCCCCTTGACCTCCTATAGTCAGGGAAGCATAAGTTGCTCTTAGAATAAATTTCACAGATACCTTTAAACTTGGACTACCAGTTAAACATTATGCTGGAAGCTGAGATATAAAAATTAAAGCACTAACATTGGCCTCAAGGTGCTCACTTTTTAGCAAAACATCTGCTCATATACAACAGATTCTGAGGTGACACAAACAGAAGCTATTAACTTTGGTAGAGTACAGATAAAACACAACAAGAACAAGGGACATTGGGAAAGACTTCTCAGGGAAAAATGACATGAGCGAGGCATTAATGGGATGTGATTTCTCCTCATAAAAAAAGAAAAAGAAGGGGCTGGCGCCGCAGCTCAATAGGCTAATCCTCTGCCTGCAGCGCTGGCACACCGGGTTCTAGTCCCAGTCGGGGCGCCAGATTCTGTCCCAGTTGCTCCTCTTCCAGTCCAGCTCTCTGCTGTGACCCGGGAAGGCAGTGGAGGATGGCCCAGGTCCTTGGGCCCTGCACCCGCATGGGAGACCAGGAGGAAGCACCTGGCCCCTGGCTTCAGATCAGCGCAGCGTGCCAGCCACAACACACCGGCCGTAGCGGCCACTTGGGGGGGGTGAGCCAACTGAAAAAAGGAAGACCTTTCTCTCTGTCTCTGTCTCTCTCTCACTGTTTAACACTGCATGTCAAAAAAAAAAAAAAAGAAAGAAAGAAAAAAGAAAAGAAAAGAAAAGAAAAGAAGGAGCCAGTGCTGTAGCTCAGCATGTTAAGGCTGTGGCCTGCAGCACTGCCATCCCATAGGGGCACCAGTTTAAGTCTCAGATGTTCTACTTCCCATCCAGCTCTCTCCTAATGCTCCTGGGAAAGCAGCAGAGGATGGCCCAAGTTCTTGGGCCCATACACCCACGTGGGAGACCTAGAAGAGCCTCCTGGCTCCTAGCATCAGCCTGGCCCATCCCTGGCTGTTGAAGCCATTTGGGGAGTGAACCAGAGGATGAAAGATCTCTCTATGTCTCTCCTTCTCTCTCTCTGTCTCTCTTTCTCTCTCTCTGTAACTCTACCTTTCAAATAAATATATCTTTAAAAAAAAAAAAAAAACAACAACAAAGAACATTCTAGACACAGCAACCCACAGCAAATCCAGAGGCCTGAGTGTAACCGGACAATAGAGTGGTAAAGAGATGATGTGGGAAGGTGGGTTGGAGCCTACCAACAAAGGCACTTACGCTGTGTCAGGACAAGCAGGGTAGGATGAGCTGTAGTAGTGCCGGCCTCTTCATCTCTGTGGCTTACCGCATATGGCTTTCTCACTGACGCTAAGCCTGAGCTAGCGGGCAGCCCCCTCCCTGCAGAAACAGCTCCACATCACACCCTATTATTCTAGGGCTGCTAAAACAAAGAAGCACAAACTTGGTAGTTTAGAACCACAGGGATTTGTTGTCTCATAGTTCTGGAGGCTGGCAGCCTACAAGCAAGGTGTTGGCAGAGCTCCGTTCTCAGTCACTGGAGGGGGACCTCCCTTGCTTCTTCCAGCTTCTGATGTCCCCAACCATTCTTTGTCTTGTGGAAGCATCACTCCCATCTAATGCCTCCACATGGCCTCTTCCCTCTGTCTGTGTCCACGTTCCCCACTGCTTATGAGATTACAGCCCACTCTGTCAAGTTTATCTTAACCTGATTAACTCTGCAAAGACCCTATTTCCAAATAAGGCCATGTTCACAGACATGAGGGATTAGGATTTCAGTACAACTCTTAGGGGTCATAATTCATCCTACAGTGCGCGTGCACACACACACACACACACACACAGCCTTAAATGTCCCTACAGAAGAATAAGAGAGAGCTAGGGGCTACCATGGGTTGTTTGTAAGGACCAGCCCTGGAAATGACTTTTGTCACTCTTGTCCAACCATTGACCATTGACCAAAATCTGGCCCTGGTCTCAGCCAAAAATTGCAAGGGAGGCAAATAACTGTAGAAGAGTACATGGCTATTCAGTGAGCATCCAGTGATAACTGACCTCCGAGTTCAAGTTCCGGGAGCCCAGCATCAGGGCAACAGGATGCCGCAGAGTGTGGGAGGGAGAGGGGAAGGAGCTGAGTAGTGAGCAGCAGGAATGGAGAGATTAGAAGGAGCCACTTGGGAAGCTAGAACCATTCATATCTGTAGAAGTTCTAGAGCATCAGCATGGGTGTGCATTGCTAAGAAGGAAGAAGAGCTTCGAGGGCACCTTCAAGGGCAGAATGGGATGAGCAGACAGAAAAGAAGGAATGTTTCTGGCTTACAGTCCCTTCACATCAGACTGTGTTAAGAGTTTGAGCCAAGGGAATACATTTCACTTTGGAGGAACTCTTCTGGATATTTGCAGTTTCACAAAACTAAATCTCCAAAACCAGATCATTCTGCTAAAATTGCCTATGCCATAGACACCACCAGAGCTAATACAGACTTTCATGTAGCAAAGCCTGGAAAATAGACAAAGGGGCAAACTCAAACCAGAAGTGTCTCTTTGGGGACTTTTCCCTTTTGCAAGAGGGAGTCGCAGAGAAAGGAGTGGATTTCAGAAAACACACTGATGGGTTTGCGTTTCCACTCTGATGCCAGTCCTCCAGGATTGTGCCCAAAGTGTAACACTCCTCCCAGAAGAGAGAAAGAGGAGAGTCCTGGGTGAGTAAATGCCACCCCAGACCACAGCTGGAGGGCCAACTGCCCATGGCCTTGTGTTTGAGTTCCCTGCTCCCCACAAAAACTTCCTGCAGGACATCCCTGCCCTGCGAGGTCAACAGCTCTCCAGGAGAAGGGAGCTCCATCCTGCATGCAGCATGGCCACACTCTTTCCTGGGGGCACTAAGCATGCTTGCTTCCCATTCTACCGTGTGCCTTCAGTGAGCATCCGCCTGTTACTTAGGACTCTGGGGGTTTTTAAAAACATGATGCTGAAAGGAATCCTTTCAAGAGGAGTCTTGTGGCCCCTGAAAGCAGGCAAGGCTGTGGATCCCTTCCAGACACAAAGCTTCCTGGGAGGCAGGCAGCAGAGCACAGCTGTGTGCAAGGGCCTGTGGGCTGTGTGTGGCTGAGAGCTGGGCTCTGTGTGTGGTGGCTGCACGCTGGCATGCTCATTCTTTGTCTCCCAGTCATGCTGCAATCCTGAAAGTCAGCGTTCACCTCAGCATGGCATTGCCCGTAGTACAATTCTCTGTTTTCTCACTCCTGCCTGGTGGAAATGCAATGTGCTGAGCTCTGCTTCCTGAGACAAACTCTCACTTCCCCACCCACCCTGTTAAACACCATTTCCTATACTCACAAGAAGCCCCTGGAGTCAGAACAACAAGGCAAGTTTGGGAACTTCACTGTTGTACTCTGAACCCGTGGGAAATGATGGCTCAGCCAGAATGCTTGGCTCCTGTTTCCTCCCTGCTGCCCACACTTATACCTTCCTCCTCACTCCCCTTAGGCTCTGCTGGATCCACCCTCCAGAGCAGATCAAGGCCAGGAGCTCTTTTGCAGAATACAGCAGGGTTAGGTCAAGGCAAGCCAGAAGAAGAGCAGGATGGGCACCATTCGCTCCTTGAAAGCAGATTGGGCTCTGCCCTCTTCCACTCTAGACTTTCCAAAGTAAGGAGCCTTCTAATCTTTCTCAGGTGCTCTCCATCAGCTCAAACACTACAAAGTACCTTGTGGCTATTTGCTGAGTGGCTTGTGACCAACTGGATGCACTCAATATGCTTCGGATGACTTGGACACAGTTCACTGAAGACCGAGAAGGGAAACCTCACTTATCACAGAGCTCAGCAATGTGTGCACCTGCTGGTGAGAGCAGCCAAGTAGGCAGTTCTCTCCAGCATGGGCTGCTGGAGGACGCTGGAAATGCCCCATTAGGATCCATTCACCTCCACAGCTGCAGAAGTTCATAATGTATTTGAATCCCACACAAACATGCATGCAAGGTTAATGATTTTTAAGATTTGTTTTGACTTAGAATTCACCTGCTTAAAACTCTCCAGTGGTTCCTCACTGCATTGGTGAGAATACTTGAAATGCTGCAATCGTCCCTATCTTTATAGCAGCAGTCCTCAAATATTTTAATCTCAGAACTCATTTACCTTTGTAAAAGACACGGAGCACCTCCAAGAATTTCTGTGTATGCAGGCCATAGACAGAATGTCTAGCAACATTCACTATGTTAGAAATTTGAATTTATAATTTTTTAGTCATAAGCTCATTTTTAAAATAACAGTAAAACAAGTTTTAGTTTGATAATTTTTATTGTAGAAACAATAATGAAGCCATCATTTAGCATAATTAGCATAATAACAGTAATACAACTAACATTTCTGAAACATTTTTCAAAACAAAAATTTTAGCATTTTTACAACACTTAATTTAATTAATGTCTGACTTCATAGAAGGCAACTGGATTCTCATTTCTGCATTCAGTCTGCTGTGATACATTCGATCATTGAACCTGAAAAGAAGCTGGCTTCACACAGATATGCAGGAAGGGTGTTTAATCGACATTTCAAATAATTGTGGATACTCTCTTCTGGTACTTCACCAAGTCTGAGCATATGGTAATTTCTTAAAGGTTGATTGCCATGTGTAATCTAAAACCATATCATGACTATTTCAGACTCAATTACATTAAAACCCACTGCATTATTTTGTCCTTCAAATGGGCCTTTCGCATACACATGTGACTTTGTACCATTATACATTGGTCGCTTGGGAAATACGTGTTCAGTGAGTGAGGCAGATCTTCCAAATGCTGTCACAGTACACTTATACAACATAAAAAAAATCACATTTGTTAATATCACCACCCACATCATTAGAAAGTCTTTAAGTATTAGGAGACTATCAAACTAACCATGATACATACAAGTCTTCCAAAATTCTAGTTTTCATTTGGGAACTCAAATTTTATTATTGGCAACAAATAATGTCTATAGTGTCTCTTAAAGAGACAAGCTCACTTTGCTCATTTTTGAGAAAATGTCTGGCTAGTATCCAGTCTGAAGAGTCGTGATCTGATTGTCTGCCAGTCATTCTTTCAAGTAATGTTATGTTCCATGAAGAGTCAAATCCAGCTCACAGTGCAGGTGCTTTTCCCTGACACAACACTGGAGTTTGGGGTGCAGTAGAGTATTTTGTGTGTACATACTTCCTACTTCATCATGCAGAATTTTTTTCAAATCTGCTCAAGGCATGAGATTGAATAAAAATGCATCATTTTTCCAGCTTCATCAAGGACATTCTCAAGTGCAACTGGCAATTTTTTGTTCTGCAAGTGCAGATGGTGAAGAGCACCATAACTCCTAGTAGAACCTTCATTCATCTTTAAAGCTCCATTGTTCCTAACTATCTTTGTTTGCATTTTGACAGTGAAATAGTGAAAAGGGCAGATGCCATCTCATTAATACTATGAAAATCAATTTGAATTCTCATACTCCCTAAAAGGGTGTCTGGCAACAATGGAGTTCTGCAGACTGTGCTTTGAGAACTGTAGCCCTCCATGCTCTGACTTGTGCCTGCCTTTCAGCCTCCTCCCGATTCATAGCTCCCCTTGGGCTCCTCCAAGGGCAGGCTAGGAGACAAGGACTCAAATGGTTTGTTTGTTAGATGACCTCAGGAAGTGCTGGGAGAAGAGCAGGGATGATATGAAAAGGAGGAGGAAGGCA